AGTTTTTTGAAAGATCTCGACTCTTGCGCCAACTAGTGTCGGCTATTTCCATATTTTATGACTCCATGATTGATCGATTTGTTTCAGTGGTGGAACATAAGCCAGCATATTAGAGAGTTATATTCCACAAAATTTACTCGCTATATGGCGCTGTCATCGGTATATCGATAAACATAATATTTGCCTTTCAATTTATGCCATATGGTGAACTGTGCCTGAGATATGACTACAAAAATTTTCATAATTTAAAAATGAAATTTAAGATTTAAGAAATTTTAAACTATGGCACCAACTCAAAAGAATTGCGCCACATTAAAGAGAGAGAGAGAGAGAGAGAGAGAGGAATAGAAGCCCAAAAAAGCTGCCACCTGCTTCAATTGTTTATTATAAAAATGGTAAATGATACAGGAGTATCATTCCGAGCGGCGGCGAATTATGTTTTTATGTTTTGGAAGAGTTGCCACCTATTTTCATTTTTATTTATATAATTATAATATGCGTATTATTCTAAAGATGGTATCTGAAGGCTTAAAAGATATATAATATTTTACTTTGTTTTTCTTTATTTACTTTATTTTAAAATATTTTTTCTTAATTTATTTGATTTTGCAATAAATTATTTATTTTATGGTCTTTATAATAATTTTATTAATATAATTTTTATTTAAATTAATTTTGTTTTATTTTATATTTCTTATTTCATTTTATTTTGTTATATTCTATTTTATTTTATGTTATTTAATTTAATTACATATTTTTTATTTAATTTTTTTATATAACTGAATTTTATTTAAGGAAATTTTATTTTATATTATATTATTTTATTTTATATTTTTTAATTTAATTTTATTTTATTTAAATTTAATTCATTTTATAATTTTTTAATTTTACTTTATTTTATGTTATTTTTTTTAGTTTTTTTATTTTATTTGTTTTATTTTTTAATTTATTTAACTTTCTTTTATATTATTTTATATAAATTTATCCTATTCATTTCCTTTAATTTATTTTTCATTATTCTATTTCAAATAATTTTATTTTTTTGTTTTTATTGTAATTTTTTTTTATTTATATTATCTTACTTTATATTATTTTGTTTAATTTGGATTTATTTATTACTATTTTATTTAGTATATTTTAATTTAGTTTTTTTATTTTTTATTTTATTTTTTTTATTTCATTCCATTTTTTGTTGTTTCATTTCATTTTATTTTATTAAGTTTTATTTAATTTAAAATAATTTAATTTATATTAATTTGACTTTATTTTATTTCATTTGATTTTATATTATTCTATTTTATATAATTTTTTTTATTAATTTTTTTACTTTTTTAATTTATTTTATTTTATTTTAGTTTATTTAATTTTAGCCCATTACTTAATTTTATTTTACTTTTTTTATTTTTGTTTGTTTTTTACTTTTTTAATTTAATTTTATTATGTTTTTGTTATTATTTCGTTTAATTTTATTTAATATCATTTTCTTTTGTTTAATTTTATTTTACTTATTTATCTTATTTTACTGTGTGGAAGGTCAATTGTCTAAAATGTCGTTAAATTAATGGAAATCGTCGAGTGGGACAGTTAAAGCAGAAGCCATTGCATTGTAGCCTTTACTGAGAAATTGTCCCGCTCCTATACTCGTACTTTTTGTTATGAATTTTTACCATAATTGAAATTAAAAGAATTTTATATTCATTTTTACCCTAATTTAGAACTTTCTTGGTTTCTTATGTAATTCCTAAAACTGTTTCTAATTTTCTGGGCGGCACACCGTTATTCTACGCTCTCATTTACCGAACATTGAAAATTTATGAAAAACAGCCGAAACAATTTCAATTAAAAAAAAGGGTTTTGAAAACAGTTAAGAAATAATAGCAGGTAGCCTAATGTCAGCTTAACGTTGTTAAGGTCTTCGGCTCGAATTTATTACATAGTTACAAATCCTTTTTTTTTTTTGGTGGACAGATATCCTAAATAATTTTTTTTATCGAATTTGCTCTTGCTACAATATTGTTATTACATTTAGTACTCTGTAATATATAGTATTTTATTTCTTATATATATAATAAATATATTATCGTTATTATAATTATTTTATTTTTTTGTAATTTCGTTAAATTAAATTAAATTCAAATTATTTTAATCTGCTGTATTTTATTTTATTTTGTCTCTTTGTTTTTGTTTATTTGCTTTATTTGATTTTGCTGTATTTACTTTTTAATTCATTTAATTAAATTTTTTATATTATTTCATTTTATTTTAATTCTATTTTTCTAATTTATTTTGTTTTTATTTTTTTAATTTTCTTAGTTTCATTTTACCTTTCATGTTACGGTCTACATCAGCACGTAGCAACTGAAACAAATCTGAAGAGATCACGGTGGTAGAGCGCAGATTGCCAGCAACCGAGACAGACAGACAGTCGCCGACACAGAGTAAACAAATGGTGCAGTAAAACCATTTACAGTCACATCATAGGATAGTAAAGGAAGTAGTTAACGTATGACAGGAGTAAAAATGTAAATGAGGTTACTAAGAGAAGTAGAGGAGAAGGAGAGGAGAGACTTAAAAATTGGCTAATGCTGCAACTACCCATTTTACATACCTTCCGTTCATAACAGCCGACTGGAAGAGCGATATACACGAGTTATTGGCGCTATTGAGAGCGGCGGCGAAATTTATAATTTTCGTCAACGAATTTCATAATTTATATATTTGAATATAAACGCCAATCAAATATATATGATCAATATGGTTATAAATAATTAATTGCGAATTTAGTTTTCATTTCTCTTGAACAAAACTACGCATTATCTTCGATTATTTAACGTTACTTTAAGAAAGGCTATGCTGGCAACCTTGTATAGCAACGAAAAATGAGCCGGTTTTACGGAAAAAATCAAAACTTCGTTGGTTTCTGCGGAACAACCGTCACTAACAGCATGGGCAAGTGGTGACAACTTTGTGTTTACATGGCGCTCTCATAAGATAGGTTACTATGGACGGCTGGTACGCGCGTTGGGTAGTTGCAGCACAACTCCCATCTGGGAATACGAAATGTGAGTGTCGAGTGAGCCGCACAGCACAGATCATAACAGCAAACTGTAGCTAAGAGAGTAAGAGTGAAGAGAAAGGTTAAATGGGATAGCATGAAATGTTGAAAACATAAAACTCAAATGTTTGATGTCCACTGTGTATTCAAGGGCTCAATTGAAGTTAGTATGGTTAACTTCACCTCAATGTCTTGTTCACTTCTCTCAAATCCACATCTCATTTTTTGTTTTTTTTTTTTTTTTGTATTGTATTTACTATTTAACAGCCAAAAGACGGTTGGGGTTGCCTTTAAAACCAAAACTATTTATTCGCGTTCTATTGCTTGTTTGAAGATTTTATTTTTTTTGCTAAATTTTCAATACCCAAAAGATTTCTCTGTTGTTATTTATTTTTTAAATGTGCTAAGTTAGGTACTCAAAAATTTTAATTGCCTAAATTTGCTTTATATGCTCTTTTGGTTTTTGTTTTTCTGTGGAATCTTTGGTTATACATACTCGTAGCATCGACTGGAGGGTTGTTTAAAGATTGATTGTATAATGGTTGCTAAACGGAGTTGCTCAAATAATGAAACGCTGCCATTTAGTTTTGTTAATATGAAAAGCAAAATAAATCTGTTTATATTGGATGCGCAAAAACTCATCATTAGTGTTAATTTAAAAGTGGTTGCCTGCTATGATATTAGCAGCACTCTCCAATGTTAACGTTTAACATTATCTGTTAGCTAATTAACATTAACGAGAGCATTTCATTTCGAAAAACAAAAAAAAAATTTTATTTTGACAACTGTTTCAAGGATAATATTTCCAATTTTTTTAAGGAGAATCGATTGAATTTTTCAATCAATTTTTTAATGTTGTTAAATTTTGTAGTAATTGAATTGAATGAAGATTCGAAACAAAGGAGCAAAGCAAGATCTCTGCTCTGGGCACTGTAACATCTAGATGATAGTTAGTGAAAACGATCGCCGTAAAAATCAAATCAGTCACTCAGCGAAATGTTATCTGTGAGGATATTGAAATGAATACAAGTTCAAAATATCATTGAGCACAAAATAAAAATTTTAAATATTGAAAGAGGGTTATAATTCTTAAAGGAAAAAATAAATCAGCTAATTTTTTAAATCAACTTTAACACTACAAATGCTTGAGCCATGTCTGTGCTTTGTATAGTCAAGGTCATACATTTTCCTTTGTTAGCTGCTTACAATACACAGTTTTTCCAAAAAATATGAAATGAAAAAAAAAACAAAAAAGAAATAAATAAAATATTAAATCAAAGACTGAGAAAGGTATATATTTAAAAAAAAGGTGGGTAGAGCGGTAAATGAAATTTTAAAATTTTTGAAACAGATAAACATAAATTTAATAATAATAATTTTTTATTTATTTGACCTTCAACACTTAGTTCTTAAACTAATGTAAGTACACCCGATTACATAAATTTGAGTCGCGGCCAAACAAGTACATTAAATGGTTATGACGTGACACATCTTAGGAACACATCCGAGGTCATTAACTTCAGAACAGCAACGCGAGGGGACACGCGCCTGAATACACGAGCGATTGAGAGTGTTTGTGCGGAGAGCGCATTTCTTTGAATAATAATGTCCTTTGCGGATGATTTCACGCTCATTGTTTAAGGGATTTTATAATTTATTGTATTTAAAGTCTGTTGACCATTGTCAATAGTACAATAAAATAACATATATTGCATAAGACCGTTGAGGCTGCCGATGGTTGTGGATCAACTAGTTACTAAGTGACTCACAATTTTAAGCCGCGAACGCTGGTTGACTGGCAACCATAACCCTTTGCATATTAGTCACGGTGCTTACAACTCAGGTACCGCTAAAAATTTCGATTTTCCAAAGGAGATCGCGGATCAGCTATAAATGAAGACGCGATCCTGCAATGCTTCAGTAGAGAATCAATACTTATCGAGACAACATTAGTCACTTTAAGAAAAACTAAAAGAATATTAATTTGTGGAAGACTAAAAGAGCAAAAAAATGCAACGTCGACACGGAAATCCTCTTCATAAACCACGATCGATTGATCACGAACATGGATCAACACACCGTGATCTGCATAAGCACTTATGTAACCTATCGATTCATGCGCTCCAGATTTCAGAGCAGAAGGGAAAGGCTAAGATTAAGAACAACAAGAAGCAGCATAGCGAGCCTAAGAGGGGAGCGGAGTTCAAAGTTACTAAGATAATTGTAAGTAAAGAGCGCCTAAGGAAACAGAAATTTACTGAGGAACAGCTGGAGAAGAAGAAAGAAGAGCACAGGTTGCTTGAAGCAAAAGTGAGAGCACTTCAACCGTCACAGGTGTTAGATTTTGAAAAGCAGAGCAAACTGATTCTATCTGAGGCTGAATTCGTACAACATTTGAGGCATTATATTATGGAAACGAGCTTGCTACGTCTCTACGGCTATCCCACCGAAAGTGCTGAAGAAAAAGGTGCGACCGAAATCTACAAGTATTTCGATTACTTCGGGGTACGCTCAAGTAAACTTTATAACAAAGGTTTGGACGACGAGGAGATCATGGAAAAACAGTGCATTCGATGCGAGCGGACGTTCCACCTTACAAGGTCGGGCGAGTACATGAATGCAGAAAGCTGCACCTTCCACTGGGGTAAACTCTATGACTCCAAAGAGATAGACAAATTGAAAGAATACACTTGTTGTGCCGGAGAAAAAGACTCAGCTGGTTGCACCCATAATGCATTTCACGTATGGACTGGCATCGAAATGGGTGTAAATGGACCGTACAATGACTTTGTATACACACAGCCAGGATTTGATGCACAAACAACAAATGTAGCGTCAAAAGTGTACGCTTTGGATTGTGAGATGGTATTCACAGGCCGTGGACTGGAGGTCGCTAGGGTGACAGTGGTTGATTGGAATGGTCAGTTAATTTATGACCATTTTGTGCAACCCATCGGTGCGGTCGTGGACTACAACACAAGATTTTCTGGCATAACGGCAGGCGACTTAAGCCGGAAGGAAAATAAATACTTAAAGTCTTTAACCGAAGTTCAAAAAGACCTGCTGAAACTGATTACTGCCGACACCATTCTCATCGGTCATGGTTTGGAAAATGATTTGAGCGTCCTGCGAATGGTGCACAAGCGTATCGTGGACACATCATATGAGTTTCCCCATCCTCTGGGATTCCCCTATAGATGTTCGCTAAAAAGCTTGAGTAAGAAATATCTAAAGTGGGATATTCAAGGTAGTGATGTGGGTCACAATAGTTTGGAAGACTCCATTGCGTGTTTGGAGTTGATGAAGTGGAAAGTCAACAAGTTCATGGAATCTGACATTAACGGCAAAGATATTTATTACTGACACGGTGAAATGCGTTCCTAAATAGGGACTAGAACTTATATTTTTTAATAAATATTTACTTAGTTTCACATAGATTTTTTGTTTGTTTCTGAAAGCTTAGAATACGCTCGTATATGGAATTCAAATGGGTGTATTTCTGGTACTTGCTACGTTTACAGAACTATATTCAATGCCGACCCTTCCGTGTAGGCTTTATGTACCTGGGCAACGTGAGTATAAAGTAAGGGAACTTTAGTGGAAAAATTTTGATATCTTCGGATTGTGGTTCTGTTAAAAATTTACTGTTGCGTCTTGATAAAAAATTGTTATAGAAAACATTTTTTCTGTAAGATTTTACTTCCTCTAGATCCATCTCAGTTAAATTTAACGACGTAAGCTGTTTGAGCAATATTCAACTGCAGCTCATCAGAACTAGAATTTTCCGAAGACGCTCGTACTAGGCATTTCACAGCGCACTTGTGCCACCAAGCCTTTTCCCTTGTCTTGTTTTTATCTTCCTTCGATGAAATTGAAATGTTTGTTTACGTTGTATGTAAATTGCTTGCAATTCAAAAGCAATGCTCGCCAACCAGCGATCATAAAAAATTAAATAAATCAAAACAAATATTTGCTTAACTAAAAAATACGTATTCATACTACGGTTAAAAAGTCATGCGTACACACACTCACCTGTCCCAAAGCGTTTGGCTCTTAATGATACGCAGTGGCCATCTCTTACTACACCTCCAACTGCATCTTCCTCATTGTTTTCTAACCAACCGCCTGCTGCTTAGTGGGTATATGTGCGTATGTATACAAATGTGTGTAAGTCTATAATTGCCGTTGTGCTTTTCCGTTTATTTACCATGAATATTGTATTTTTTATATGCGCTCAGCTTATTTTTGTGTATTCGCGCATTTGAATTTGTTTTCTTTTCGGTTTTTACTGACGTTGGCGCTGCTGTTTCGTCTCAGCTCTGCCATTATAGCCATTTGCATTTGGTCTCTTGAGGTTTATGAGATTTTAAAATGTTTTCGCAAGTGCTTAACTGTCTTTGCGCTGTCAATTTAAATTAAAACCATGCCAAAGTCAACACAATGGGAAATGGTGGCTCATTTTGTTAGCATTTAACTTTTGGAATTATGTTTAAGTTGCCAGAGCAAAGGTGAAAAAAGGGGAAATGCCCCAAACTGATAGTTTGTTTTATTTTCATTTAATTCTTGGAAGCAAAAGCATGAATGTACAATAGCTAAATATTTTCACCTGGTAATATTCGGAATACGTACTTTGAATTTATTTTATTTTATTTTATTTTATTTTATTTTATTTTATTTTATTTTATTTTATTTTATTTTATTTTATTTTATTTTATTTTATTTTATTTTATTTTATTTTATTTTATTTTATTTTATTTTATTTTATTTTATTTTATTTTATTTTATCTTAACTTTTAAAATCGCATCATTGGCAATTCAAAACGAATCACATTAAGTATGAATTAATTGCAGATGAGATTACACTTGCAACATATCAAATTATATCACATCAAATGAGCTCGTTCAGCACTTTTTATCTTTAAATCATAGAATCACAATATGTCAAAACTTACATTACTAAAACGCATCATTATTGAGTTAGCGTCACTAAACGTCACTTCATATATATAGCTTTATTTTGCGACATCGCGTCATAAGGCCAATTCAAATCATTGCATTAGCCAACTAATTTTTCTGCAGCACATTACAACCCTTTCAAACTTATATTCCAAATTAATTCAAATTAACATTTCATATGACTTTGAAGCGCTTCACAAAATCATATCGTCGCACTTTTTTTCTCCTTCCTACCATTTTGAAATAAATCACTTCATCGTCATATCACTTCATATCACAGCACATCACATCATTACATCACATCATATCAAATCACATCATTTTAGTAATTTTTAACGCCTAAAATTTCACCACTAGCTTAAAAAATAAATAGCTTTCCAAATTATTTCTCCCCAATTGTCATAGCTTTCTGAATAGCAAAATTCACCTACACTAGAAGCATAGCAAACCCACACATACACATACATACCATAAATAAAACGGATATACAGGTATAAAATGTCATTGCTTGGACAGCACAACGGTATGCAAAATCGTTGTTTCCCGTCTAGCCAGCGACAATGGATGACAAGTTGCACACGTACACATTTACACACATACCTACACAATACAAATTCAAATAAACAAAGTGAGAAAAATACAAATACAAATATTTTACAACAACAAAATTTTCATGACAATTCAGTAAATTTTTGCAATTTTAGTGCTTCAACCATTTTGGCACTACTCCACCACAACAAAAAATGCAATACCTTTTTGTTGTTTCATTGTTGTTGTTTCATTGTTGTTGTTGATCTGTGTTTTACTTTTGGTTGGCTCACTCAGTGTTGTTTACCTCAAATCTGCTTATTGTTGTTTTATGTTGTATTCTCAACTCAGCCGAGCAGCAGAGCTCAGCAATGAACTTGGAATGCTGAATGTCAAGTATTCGTCCGCCTGCCTGTCTGTTTGTCTGAACGTATATATGTGTGTGTGTGTGTATATGTGTGGAGAAAATGATTGTTGCTCCGTTGGCTTACAGCTTGTTGCATACAACTTGGTTCTTGGTGTCTGTTGTTGGTTGCTTGTTGTTTTTCACTTCCTCCTTTATTTTTCTGGTTTTCCTTTGCTTTTTTCTTTACATTCTGCTAATAAAATATTCAGTCGTCTGGCTCGGCTGAGCATCGGTTCCACCTTTGACAATAACACTCCACTGAGGGAGGGTGATAGGTATAGTGCGATGGTAGGGACATGGCTCCTTGAGTACTTAAGTACTTAACTGGTGTTTCTTTTTTTCTTCTGTGCGAATGTGCTTGTGTCACTTTATGCCAGTCAACAGTTAAATGCTTGAAATCAGAAATTTTTCGCTTCGTCGGTTGAGGCTGAGGTTAAGTGAGTGTTCACATTCTTTTTTATTTATTTTTTAATCTATTTCCACATTTAGCGCTGAAATTTTTCTGGCCTTTTCGGCTGGTTTAGTAGGAGATCAACCCATACCTCACCCCATTTAAATTTTACCTTTAAGCTTAAATACGTAGTACTTGTAAATTTATTAGATTTTCTTTAGAATATACCCACTAGGAGCCCTAACTTCTCTTGTTCTTTACCTATTAACATTAGTATTTCCGGCTAGGTAAATAAATAATACACCACCAGCCTCATTATTCCGACCTACGCGCTGTAGTTTCCGGGTTTCCTCATGTGTTTTGAACCGTGAGATTCGGAAACTACTAGACAAATGACAACGCGGAAAGCTTTCCTGACTTGTTATAGCAATATGCCTACAAACTAACTAGATGGTTAGCAGTCCACGGGATGAGATAGTCATGAGTTTGAATTTTGGCAAGATTAAATATAAGTTATAGAAAATCAGTGTGCAGTCGGCAGCATGAATCTATTTGGACGTCAAATAAAAAACTGTTTCTAAAAATCCAAGCACCCAAAGAAACTTTGGAAACTTCCAGGCCACGACCTTTGAATACCATCTCATAATCGAGAGCGATTCACTCAACTTATGGTCAACATAATCGGCTTACTGAGTGTACCATTCTCAACACCAATACCCATTTTGAGACCCAGCATTCATTATTGGATAATATTCGACCGAATGAACAGCGTACAGCACGCGGCCATAGCTGAGATTCGTGTACACCGTTGGGAGGCGATTCGGCGCCATTCGCAGCGAACTGACATATTGAATGACTAGACGGATTTTACATTGAGGTCTCAAATTGAAAGCGTACCAAAAACAGCTTCTACAAGAACTGATACCGGTCGACCTAACCAAAGGATCTTTGAAAAATGACAAGAATATGCAACGTTTTCGAGCCAAATTTGTTAAGCGAGACCCATTTCTAGGAGTGTAAAAAGTCAAAATTGTCGCATTTAGGACAAAAAGTAACCTGAGGAGATTCGAAAGCTGCCATTTCATCCACCAAAAACAACGGTTTGGTGTGGTTTGTGAGACCATGTTTGTTCAAAAAATGATGCTGGTGAGCACGTAGCCGTCTATTGCGCCCGTTATCGCACTATGATAACCGACTATTTTGGGACTGAAATTGAAGCTCATGATCTTGGCGACATTTGGTTGCAACAAGACGGCTGCACTTCCCACACATCGTACTAATCACTGGATCTATTGAGAGAACACTTCGGTGTAAAGATAATTTCATGTTTTGAGCCGTTCGATAGGTCACCAAGATCGTGTGATATTACACCGTTAGGCTTTTTCGTGTGCGGATAAGTAAAGCCTAAGGTCTAAGTGGACAATCGCGCTTCGACTCAAGTCTGGGTGCGAAACATACCGAGTGTTAATTGCCAGTTACCGGTCGAAATGCTCGAATGAGTCATCGAAAATTGGACTCAGCGATTGGACAATCTGAGACATAGCCCCAACATTTGGTATAATAAATAAATATAGGTAAAAAGGTATCGAACCTCGAAATGAATCACTTTTTAGATCTCGGTCGCACCTTTTTCTTTAGCACTTTTCGTGTTTTTTCAACAGAGGCTCAACAATGAATGTGATTGTCATTACTCAGAGCTCCTTCTCTTTCCATGTTTGGTGAGGATAGTTTCAAATTGAAAATCTATTTTTGGCTTCCTTAATTTTATATATGCAATTTAGATCATAATAACAATTTTTTTGTTGCCTTAATGAGCTCCAAATCGATAACAAAGCCTTGCTGAGACCTTACCAACTCTTATAGTTGATCTGTTCTATTGGCAGCCGCGTCTTTATCTCCCTTGTCAAATCTCATAGGAACATATGCGAGAAATTCGCATTAGGCATTGTAGTTCAAAATAAAAGAGCTGAAATTATAAAAGAGCTTAAAACCGAAGTCGTTGCAAAAAACCAAGGCGCACAACATGAACTGGAGAAATATCCGACCAGGATAAGTTTAAATTCTCAAATATCCTTTAGCAATGAACTCGATTATGTTCATTTCTTTCTATTTTGTTCTAAGCCATATTACCAAGGACTACTTCCAGTCCTTTTA